CCCCAAAACCCCAAAACCCCAAAACCCCAAAACCCCTAAAAATCTTTCTAAATTGCTATGTCACTTTAACTTTTCTGAATGACCATTAAATTTAAATAAAATAGAATTTTAAATACAAAATACAAATTTACAAAACCCTTACAATAAAATACACCCAAGCTCTAAATATACCCACAATCCCTCAAAATACCTCCTCCAGACCAAAAATTACTTGACTCCATAACCCCCTTCACCCACGCACTAACTTCTTCCCTTCCATCTCCCACTCTAACCCCCTTGACCCCCGCATAAGCCCCATTTCTCTATCTAACCCCCTTCTAAATAATACCCTAGAAGTGTCCCAGCTTAACTTTAAATATTGGTTTAAGTTAAGAAATTTAGAGCTTTTAAAAATTTGATGAATGAGCTCATTTCTTTAGTTAAGCGTTGGCAGGGAAATGTGTAATGGAGAATGAGGTTGATGAGGTTTGTAAGATTTTATATGATAGTAGTGGCTGAGATTTGGAAATGTGTGAAATTTAAGTAGAGAATTTAGTAAACAAGTAGGATTAAGAGTATGAAGGTTGAGATTAGGGTTTTATGTGTTTCAAATGTATAAAAAATATGAAAATGAGCATCTCTGAACTGAAAATAGGGCATTTTGAAGATAGAGAAGTATGAGTATAATGTTTAATTAACAAATCCCTCAATTGTCAAGAGGACCCTTCGAAATTTAATGGTTGTTAATGTAAACTACTTACAATTTTAGTTATATTATACCAGATAAAGGAGCTCATAAAAAAAATGATAAAAAGTAGCTTTAGCTGACAAGATTGATCCATGCATGGGTATTTCTCCTTCCAAACTTATTGTATTAATCTTCAGATACATTCTAAGATGAAACCATTGATCTAATTTTAAATTATTTTGATGGTAATTTTTCTCCATTAAGAATAAAAATGACAAAAAAAAATTACTAATAAACAATGTTTTAGCTAGAGAATTTACTAGATTTATAAGAATGTTACAAAAATCGATAAACAAAAATCAATTATATCTCAACAGAAGCAAGAATTAAGTTTCCCTTATATTCTACTCAAACTTCAAAATTGCTATCATTAATCAATGCGAAAATGTATTTCTGTTAGATATTTCTTAATCTCCTCAACCCAAAACATCTTATAAAAAATTGTTCTATTAGTTAACTGTGCACATCCTAATCGTCGCATTAAACTTGTTTATAAAGAGTTCAACTGTAAAATAAATGAGCTAGCTATATGTCAAAGCTTTAGGTAAAACTTAGCTTAACTCCTGATTTTTCACCTTAAATCTTCAAAAATTAGAACCACAAATTAACTCCAAAATTACTGAAATATTCATTGAAATTAAGTTTACTTGGTGGTGGTAACTGAGTCTAGACAATAAGTGTCTTTGTCTTTCAGACTAATCCGTTGGGGATAGCTTTGCCAATCAGATGTGAGCTCGCAGTCTTCTAATCTGAGTTTAGTCCCTGAAGTTTCAATCATCTCTCGGAGTGTTCAAAGCTCATTATGGGTAAACCAAACCTTCTTGAAGATTAGGATTTTGGGAGGATCTTGAAGCATCTTCTTTATTGTCTTTGCAAATTTTTTATATATGATATAGTGGTGATTCCCTGAGGTCTGTAGAGTCAATTCTTCACAAAAATCTTCAGGAATTCATGTCTCAATATAATCCTTCAGCAAGGATAAACAAGAAATGTATATGGAGAATACAAACTTCTTGGTCTTTGGGAGAACTACTTTCTTTTGGATAGACTCATCCATAAAATCAGCATCACTTTTTGTAGATGGGTGAAGACCATAAATGCCTTCATACTTCATTCTGTCATCCTCTTTAAAGTATTTTAATTTCAGTTGGTCTAAACTTGTAGGCTCTTCAATAACTTCATCGTTTATGCTGCACTTTGTTTTGTTGGTATTCTCTTGAGGTTGGGATGTATATGACATTGAGTCGGCGGTATTTTGTTTTGCTTGCCAATTAGGCTTATCATCATTCTTTGACATGTTAAATACTTCAGCTTGGTTCTGCTTGAGGATTCATAGCTGGAAGGCATCACTCATGATTTTATTGAGTTTAGGATCTTCATTGATCATTGCTCTTAGATCATTCAATTTTGCTTCGTAACTATTAAATAGCATGTATTCTTTGTTTTGAATTGCTACCAAAGCGCTCTCTTTTAGATTTATAAAAGATGTTTGAGTTTTCTCAAGAATTTCACCTATTCCAGGATGAAATTCCTCTAGTCCAAACTGGACGTAAGCCTTATGTGTGGATTGGACCACTCTTTCCAGACTCCTAACATGGTACTCCAATTCCTCGGTACTAATCAAATGCTCGACTTTGCACTTAAAATGGAGGTCATACTTACATTTCACTCAGACAGGCTTCTGGTGATCTTGTCAGTACTCAGTGCTCTTATTCTGGCAGATGCTGGTATTTCAGATGACTCACATTTGTAATTCAAATACTTAGCAAATTCACTAAATCTGTAGGCTAATTATTTAAATTTCAACATTGTTTAAATAAGCAGGGGTTTTGGGGTTTTGGGGTTTTGGGG